ATAATTTTAAATTTCAATTTTGATCCACTGACTATTGAATTTATATTTTTTCAAAAATGTTAATTTAGTACCTTGACTATGCAATTTTTTTCAATTTTGACCACGCCGGCCAAATTATCGGTCAAATGTGATTGAAAAATATTAATAAACAAAATAATTAGAGTATTTTAATCATTTCACTACTCTTTTTTTCTTCTCCGGCGAGTCCATTTTTTCCACCATGCTTTCCAGTGAATGCAATGAGCGGGAATGCACGTGCCGATCCGAAGCGGCATACCGCCATCGCGTTGAGCCCTCAGACGTGGTTGTGCTTTGGAAAGGTCTAGGGTTTGAGTCCTACTCGGGTTAATGTAATTTTTATGACATTTTACTAACTATTATTAGTAGTGAGCAATATATATATATATATATATATATATATATATATATATATATATATATATATATATAACATTCTTTTATATTAATAATGAGATGTATTTTATAGGTTTCATATTTTGTTATTAATATTTTTATAAAGTTTTGATATGTTTTATTTTTTACTCATATCCAATAATATTTATGATTATACTTTTTTTAAGTGTTTCATTTTTTTTCAAACTATCTATTTTGTTGTAATGTTCCGTCCTCACTGAACAAAAATTCTGGCTCCGCGCCCTGCTTGCCAAAATAAAATTCCAAAATGAAAACAAGGCAAATGAAAATAATACTTCATTTCCTTTTCAAATAAATATATAGCATATTGGCCGAATTTTGGTCAGTGCATGAATTAGAACTTCCTACACTACAATCTACTAAATTAGTAGCCGAAACGTCGTAACAAAACCTTATTTCTGTTATATACGTCCTACCATTAGAAGCTGTCCGGCATATAACCGCTGGACGCCTAATATTAGTGAATCCCCGCTTAACCTGAATTTGACTGAATGCCCCCAAAATACTAGTAACGGTTGTAGGTGCACTATTGTCTGGGAAAATTTTCCCGCGTGCAAGGATAGTAGTTATATTGTATGCAATATATAACTGTACGGTCTTTTCAAAATAATCTACTTGGGGGAGTAGATTATTTGAGAGCATGCCATGAGTATTCCACTCGTACCTCCAAAACCTGTTATTGTAATTCCCATAATAGTCTAACCAAAAGCGATTTAATCTGGACAGCAAGTTTGGATACATCTGCAAATGCCATTTAAAATAAAAAATTAATTACTACAAAATGTATAAACCAATCAAAGTTTACATGTAAATGGCTAAGAATTGAGTTTATAAATTAATATAAATTTTATATATATATATATATATATATATATATATATATATATATATATATATATATCAATATTTTCTTTTTTTTTTTTGAAATTGTTTCTGGAAAGTTCACTAAAAACAGGTGTACCATGTTAAATAATAATAATAATAATAATAATAATAATAATAATAATAATAATAATTTTACCAAGTTAGGATTATATAACGGTGCCGTTGGAAGATTTTGACCTTGCGTAACTTGTGGCCAAAGGCCATGAATAGTGAAATCCTCTCTTATTTTAGCATATATACAGTTCACATGTGCACTCATTATAACTCTACAATAGCCCGGAGGCCAAAACAGTGATAAATGAAACCCATGCCAATGTGGAGGTGGAGGTGGAGGTGGAGGTGGAGGTGGAGAGGGAGGGGGAGGGGGAGGAAGGAGAGGAAGCTTAGATAGTTGCATATGTGAATTCAAATTTGAACAGATGGCATCACTCACTTTCAAACAAAGAAGAAGAACCACAAACACAAACCTATTCATTTTTTTTGGAATAAAAACTCTAGTAATGAAGGTTGGTCATTAAGAGTGGCATATAATACCCTTTTATAATAAGATTTGTTGATCTCTTCTATGACACAACTAAATATACTAATTAGGTACTAATTAAGTTAGTCATGAAGGTTAAGTATTAATATATATATATATATATATATATATATATATATATATATATATATATACTTAGGTACTAATTAAGTTAGCCATGAAGGTTAAATATTGATAGTTAATATATATATGTAGACAACTAAATATACTAATTAGGTACTAATTTATACTAATTAGGTACTAATTAAGTTAGTCATAAAGGTTAAATATTAATATATATATATATATATATATATATATATATATATATATATATATATACTTAGGTACTAATTAAGTTAGCCATGAAGGTTAAATATTGATAGTTAATATATATATGTAGACAACTAAATATACTAATTAGGTACTAATTAAGTTAGTCATAAAGGTTAAATATTGATAGTTAGGGATGCAAATTTATTGATTTGCTTTCATGCTGAAATAATTATTGTAATTATTACACATTAAAAAGAGCTAATACCACATAATCCTCACTAATTTTGAATCATAGACAAAGCAAATCATTATTTAATTAACTTTTATGGAAGCATTAATTAAGGCAAAATTAAAGGTAATTCACTGAACCTCCTTGCAAGAGAAAAAATTACTAAATTTCTTTCTTAACCTATACATCAATACATGCATCGATGCACCAATGAACTTTGAGCTAATACTATACCTATCCTACTATACTATAATTTTTTTTTTTTTTTGGTGAGATTGAGGGACATTGAGTCCCAAGAAACTAAGCAATTCTTCTAGTTGTCACGCCATTGGCATCACGAGCAAGCAAAGAGATCATATCTGGGGGTGGGGAGTCCAGCAATGATGTTCCCCACGGTTTGTCATGCCCCAAGTTCGCTAGGTAGTCAGCACTTTGATTGCCTTCCCGGAGGACATGCCGGAGTTCATGGTTGAGGAAACCTTCCATTAAGGCTTTGCAGTCCAGAATCAAGGTATCTGCCTCCGGACTGGATCTCGAGTCCATGCGAAGAGCCTGAACAAGAGCTTCTGAATCCGATTCTATAATAATATTCAAGATCCTCTCATTTTTAGCCATAATAAGCCCCTCTCGGAGACCCCAGAGCTCAGCAATGAAACTGTTCGTAATGCCAATCTTAGAGGTAAACCCCCTAATCCAGTTACCAAGATGATCACAAAGCAGACCTCCAGCACTGGCCATACCGGAGCAAGTTCTCCTAGAGCCATCCGAGTTAAGCTTCGTCCATCCTAGCGGTGGTGGTGACCAGTGAACCCAAATCTGTCTCCCTATGATCGGGCCTCCATGTTTAAGCAGGTGGTGCTTCGCTTCTTCAGTCTGGTGTGCAGCTCGTCTACAGATTTCCCCCGCTGGAACATCATTATGGTTGAACACGAGGTCATTCCTTGCTTTCCAAAGGTTCCACAGCATGTGAGGGAAGAAGATGCTCCAGTTGATGTCACTGGAAGAAGGTGGCGATGAACAACCAGAATTTTTGATCCAGCTTGTCAGGGAGCGGGTGGAGATTGCATCAAAGTAAGCCGGAGGGTTGCAGAGATTCCAGCATTCAACTGCCAACTCGCATCTACGGAAGAGGTGGTCAAGCGATTCTTGTTCCCTCACACATCTTGGGCAGGAATCATCGTTGGTGAGGCCTCGGTGTTTCCTTTCGGCATTAACAAGGACCCCGTTGTTGATAATTTTCCAAATGAAAATTTTTATTTTTTCCATGCATTTCAGATTCCACATCCAGCCTTGATCAGTAGACTCCCCGCTATGACCTGCAATTAAAGAGTATGCTGATTTAACAGAAAAAAGTCCCGTACCTGAAAGAGGCCACGAAAGGGTATCTTGTTGCTCGCTGTTGATGCTGATCGGGACCGCCCGAATAGAGTTGACTACAGAGGACGGCAGCAACTCGGAGCAGGATCTGATGTTCCAGGTTCTATTTGCGGAGATATAGTGACTAACTTTTTGTTGTGCCACATCATGGGGAGGCACAATATTTGGGAGAGAAGCAAGCGGGGCGTCCCTAACCCAGTGGTCGTGCCAAAAGTTGAGGGTGTTACCATTACCAATCTTCCATTTAACGCCTTGTTGGAGAATTTGGCGTCCTTTGATAATACTTCTCCATCCCCAGGAGCAATTATTGGGAGTGCCAACCGAGAAGAAGTTCCCATCTTTTATGTATTTCTGAGTCATGATCTGGACCCAGAGTTTATCTTTATTGGAAACCATTTGCCACGCAAGCTTAGTGAGGAAGGCTTTATTAACCACTTGGGCTTGCCTTAAACCCAACCCCCCCTTGTCTCGTGGTGCACACACCTCCGACCAGCTGACTGAATGAACCTTTCTAGAGTCTTCAGAGTGCCCCCATAAAAAGTTCCTGCAAATCTTGTCAATACTATTACAAGTACTTACCGGTAACGCCATGGATTGCATGATATAGGTTGGGGTTGTGGCTAGAGAGGACTGGACCAAAACCCTTCTACCTGCCATGCTCAGGGTACTAGCTTTCCAGTTAGCTAACTTTCTTCGCATCTTATCAATAACGGATGAGAAGGTCGTCTTGGAAACCCTCTTGTGAAGAAGGGGGATCCCGAGATAGGTACCTAACGAGGATGTTACCGGGATTCCTGTGTGCTCTCCAATGTCTCTTTTGATCCCTGCATAAGTATTGGGAGAGAAAAAAATTTGGGACTTAGAGAGATTTACCTTTAGGCCGGAGGCGTGACTGAACTTGTTAAGGCAGTCCATCATCACCTTAGCTTGTTGTGTCGATGCTTCACCAAAGAGCAAAAGATCGTCTGCGAAGAAAAGGTGAGAGATACCAATACCGCCTCTAGACACCGATAAGGGCTTCCAGTTATGCGCAGCTACTTCTTTTTGGATGTCAAAGGCCAGTCTTTCCATAATCAAGTTAAAGAGGTACGGGGCAAGCGGGTCCCCCTGACGGAGCCCACGACCCGGGGAAAAGGAGGGCAGGCGTCCACCATTCCAAAGAATAGAAATGTCACTCTCACTAAGAGAGAAGAGAATGAGCTGAGTGATGCTTCTGGGAAAACCAAATCCATCAAGGGTTTCTTCAAGGAAGGACCAATCCACACTATCATAGGCCTTCTAGAGATCCACTTTGAAGACCATAAGACCTTTCTTACCATTCTTCTTATTCATCGTGTGGATGACTTCTTGTGTAAGAATCACGTTATCCAAGGTTGAGCGGCCCGGGAGGAAGCTGTTTTGGTGAGGCCCAATAAGCCGACACATAATGGGTCTCATACGGTTGACTAGAACTTTTGAAACAACTTTGAAGTTCACATTCAGCAAAGTAATGGGCCTGAAGTCGGAGGCTGTCTCCGGGACATCCTTTTTGGGAATAAGAGTAATAAAAGCCCGCAGAAGTGAAGTCGGGACTTTGCTAGTGCTCAGAGCCCGGTTGACTAGCCCCGTAAGAGTTGGCCCAATATCTTCCCAAAAATGTTGATAAAAAATCGCCGGGATACCATCTGGACCGGGGCTTCCAAATTTTTTCATACCAAAGGCTACTTTCCTAACTTCCTCCATCGTGGCACTCCGGGACAATTGGCTGGCTTGTTGTCTCGAAATCTTACAACTCTCTGCAATCCGAACCAGATTTGAGCTCCCACTGCTGCCAATTCTGTCAAAAAGCGAAGCAAAGAACGAAGTGATATGGTTAGAAAGAGTAGTATTATCATCAGTCCAATTACCGTTTATTTTGAGGAACCTGATTATGTTTCTGTTTCTTCTAATAATGGCAGAGTTATGATAGAACCGAGTGTTTCTATCCCCCTCTTTAATCCAGTTGGCCCTTGACTTTTGGAACCAGAGAGTCTCTTCCTGGTCAAGCACCTGATTGAGGTTAGCTGCAAGCCGTTTTTCCAAGGCCTGGAGACCCCTCGAGGTAGCATAGTAGGGATTGGATTGGATACCCCGAATTCTGGCCTCGAGATCACGCTTTCGTTTAAAAATATTACCAAACACATCACGATTCCAGGCTTTGCTTTTTTCAGTGATATCGCCAAGGATGTTTACAATTTCTTGATCACCTCCATTCGTGGCATTTTTCCAAATCAGACCATAGTCATCTCTATTAAGCCAAGCTGCCTCGAACCGGAAAGGACGGAGGTTTCTATCCGGCGGTGAACCCGCTGCATCCATGAAAAGGATTGGGTTGTGATCAGAGTGAAGCCGTGGAAGGATTACAACTTTGGCTTCGGGAAAGGCCAACTGAGCATCCATATTCCAAAGAACTCTATCAATCCGGCGCATCTGAGTAACTCGGTTACCCACAAAGCGGCACCAAGTGAATTTGGTACCAACTGATCCCGGGTCTATGAGACCACAGTTGCTAAATGCATCGGTGAACCTTTGCATACCCGGGATGTTAATAAACTCACTTCCCCATTGTTCTTCTACCATAGCTATGTCGTTTAGATCGCCCATGAGGATCCAAGGGCCTTGAATAGAGTTACTGAACAGTTTACATTCCTCCCAGAATCTAGACTTGGCCAAAAGGTTGGGTCTAACATAAGAAAAGGTGACGTGTCCTCCATCCACCTTCGTATGAATCGCCTGAGAAGAGTGTTTAACAACCTGTAAATCTGTTTGCCCCTGTTTTCAGAAGAGGAGCAAACCACCTGCAAAACCAATGGGCTCAACTAAAAAATGATTAGTGAATCCCATAGAACTAGCCATATTAACCATTCCCTCAACTCTGGGGGAACGGATCTCCAGGAGACAAAGGATATCAGCTTTGGACGAGCGTAAAAGCTCTTTTACATGCTTTCTTACACGCCCATTGACAACACCCCTACAATTCCAGGAGATGGCAATCATTGAGAGATATCGGTAGGCGGAGAAGTTTGATAACCACCTTCTCCCGGCGTGAAACATGTCATGGCGACCGGATGTTGACTATCCAAACCCCCAAAGCCAAAACCAGCAAAGGTGGCATTCAAGCCCCCAAACTGGAAGGGTGAAGTTGATGCACCAAGGCCAGAACTTTCACCCGGAGCAAAACTGCTAGCGTCAAACAAAACAGAATTACCTATCATCCCACTTCTACCCACCCTTCTAGAACCGCCTCGGAAGGTCGTGCGAGAGCCCCCACGGCCTCCGCCAACTTGGCCGGAGGAATGTGGCGCCGTCGACCGAGCCTCCTGCGCAGCCATCAGGTTAGGTGTGTGGGCCAATCCCTTGTCAGGGGGAGTTGGCGGACGTGAAGGAACAGAGATAGGAGACTTACCTTTCCCGCTTTCACCGTTCTTTTTCTTCTGTTTGTTATTTGAGGAAAAATGGCGATTGTCATCCCTCGAGTCTTTCAAGCCACTCAAGGATTGAAATTGATTACCTTTGGGACGGGGAGCTGCATTCTTACTTTTGTTCTGATTGTGATTCTTCTTGGCAGCCTCCACTGTGCGTTTTCGAGTTACCACCATCCACGGACCGTACTTGGCCCTAGCAGTCTCAGCTGGAGGCGGCTGCACTGCCGGCTCCGAGCCCGGAACCGCATCCTTCTCCCCCGCTGGTTCTGCATTGAGATCCATGGTGCTCTCGGCCGGCATCGTAGGGGCTTTTGACTGCGGACAGGCTTGCTGGCGATGCCCGACAATGCCACATCCGAAGCATAAAACATGTAGGCCTTCGTATTCCACCTCGTGGAGTAGATCATTCACCCAGATTTCTGAAACCAGAGGTTTGTCGACGTCAATTTCCACCGCAGCTCTGGCGAACCTCCCCTTGGTCACAGCAGTAGTGGTTCTATCGAGTTTCAGCGGTTTCCCTACGTTATTCAAGATCTGCTTGATGATGTCATCTCTGAAGTATTCCACAAAGAGTTTGGGCAGTCTCACCCACACGGCCATTTTTGCCAGCTTAGCTTTAGATGGATCAAACTGTGGCACCCACCGTTGGGCAACCAGGTAGTTATCGAATATCTTCCAGGGACCATCGATGAGGACATGCAAATAGTCCCTTCGGCTGCTAAAACGAGCCACGAAACAGCCGTACCCAATATCGATAAGCTCCATTTTTTCCTGCAGGCCCCAAATCGTTGGCAGCCTTTTGTTCAACACATTGAAACTGATGTTCTTGCCTAGATATCTGATGATCAAGGCGAGCTTCCACTTCTGGCAAAGCTCCCTTCTTGTTGCCAAGGGAATATAGACTCTTGGGATCCCATCTTCTCTAGGTTGCGTATTCATGTCGCCATCCGGCTCTAATTCTGGGTCCTCAAACGCCCAGTCGTTAAGGTCCGAGATGGGGGGTACGTCTCCATTCAACAGCACTGGAGATGCTATAGCTTCCGCGAATGAACGCTTGGACGTGCATGCCTTCTTGTGGGAGCGTTGATCCGTCACCACCTCCTCCATGGGATCCGAAGGTGGGGGGGTGGCGCTCTCCATCGACGTCTGCATGCCCGCCGGACCGCCGCTGGCCGCCATAACGGCTAGGACGCGTACAGCGGAACTTACCAAAAAAGAACCAGAAAGCCAAAGGAAAGAAGCGTTTCTAGAGAGAAAAAATCATACCAGGATCAATCAAGTTCCTTCGCATCCATCCTACTATACTATAATAATAAAGCCACATCCCTTTCGTAATTAAAATTAGATAAAAGTTTCCCGCTCAAGTAATACGGTGCCGTTTTATTGTTAATAATAACCAGCGCATCTTTTAGGTTTTAAGTGTATTGTCATTTAAACATCCGATGAAGCGTGGGTAATATAACTAGACAACTTTAACTGATCAAGCATCACCATCTGTGGCTATTTTGAAGTTAATGTCAGATGAATTCTCTCTTGTTTAGAGCATCCATAATAGAGAAGAATATGAAAATAATGTCAGATGAATTCTTTCTTGAAGATAATAATTGATGTAGGAAAGAAATAAATGAAAGAGATTTAAGGAGAAAGCGAGATTTAAGGAGAAAGCCTTGTAACAGCAAGGCAACAACCAAGCCCCGTGCACGCACCCGGCTGTGCGTCAAGCGCACCTGACATGCATTTGGGTTATATTTTTTTTTATTTAAAAATTCAGTTTTAGTTTTTTTTTTCTCCCCTCCCACATTATCTTTCGTAATCACTCTTACATTCTCCCCTAATATCCCAACTGATAAGGATGCTCTTAGGATAATAGCAAATGTAGGGTGAATGATTTGAGAAATAAATCTCCTGCAACAACCCACATCATGTCAGATCCAAAAAAATAAAATAAAATGGAAGAAACAAGGGCTTAAAAATTAACACGTGAGGCGCGTCAGGCTGTGAATGAATAAATATTTAGAATACTGAATACACATTTAAGCAATAAAGCCAACTAAAACATTATGCACAAATAAATAGCTCAGTTTGATGGGTTGGGCACAGGTCAGGTTCAGGTTCGCCCCGAGCCTAAATATGTTACTCGAAAGTTTTCGGGCCCTGTGTTTTTAAATCCAAAACTGAACCCAAATTTAACGGGTTCTTTTTGGATTCAGGTACATCGGGTTCGGGTGATTAAACCCAAAAATATAAATCTTTTTTAAAAAATCAAAATTTCTAAATGTTCTGAGCTGGAAAGTTATACAAGTATTAGAAATAAAGTAATAAGACCCCCCCTATTACATCAAAAGGCATTGAGAAAATAAAGAAAGAAAATAAAATTCTAAAATAAACCTAAAAGATCTAAATTAATAATTTACAACAAAAAACTTTTTTAACATTACAACAATTTACTAATCTAATAAAATAATGATTAGAGACATGAAGCATAAATAACAATTTTTTTAAAAAAAAAAAAAAAAAGCAGTGAAAAATCCTTGTCAGTTCAGTTAAAGCTGTTGAAGTTGTATTCCCCCTCCTCAAATTCCATATGTTGCTACAATAAAAAGAAGAAAAGTGAGATAAATATCATTTCAATGTGTCATTTTGTAGTGCGACAATTCATGCATATATTTGAACCAATATCACTGTTATTTGAAGAGAGAAAGAACATAAATAGATAAATGGTGTGACAAAATAATGTAATATTAGATTGGTTTGCAGATTCAAATAGCATTGCAGTATAAACAAGCTATTGCTATTCCAAAAGTAGGGAGAAGCAATTCACACTTCATTTGTCAAAGCACAAAAGAGAACAAAGCAAGTTAAGCAACTAAGCCAAAATGGTATTTCTTTCACCAATACAAATATACAATACTTACAATATTTAAATGAGATAAGGGAGAAAAATCACTTGAATCAACCTTAATGCACATGAATTTGTAAGATCTACTTATTTTCAAATCAAAATTGATCTACTTGGCTATATCTACTAATAGTGTATTCGAAAACTATTAATAAAAGAGAAATTATACCAAAAGCATTTGGCAAATTAATAAAAAAAAAGAATTTTTTTCCAAACATAATTAAAAAACCCAAAACATATATTTTCGAGAAAATAAAAAGCCAAAAAAAATAGTAAATTACCTGTTAATGAGACATAGATTTTTTAGATATTTATGGCCAAGTTTGGTTTTTTCCCTTTGAGTAGGGGACCGCCAGTCGAAGCCTCAAAGATCTGCCCAGATCTACGTTGTGCTTAGCAGATCTAGGGTTTCCTGTGAAGAAAGTGTGAGAGAATGAACGTCAAAGACTATCCGTATGAGTAAATTAAAATTTAAAAGACTGAAATTGATAGGTTAGAGAGAACTCACCAAGAATGGGTTGAGTGTCTAAGAGCCTGAGCGAAGGCGAGAACCGAGAGGACCGAAGTCGGAGTCGCATTCCGGTGGAGAGGCGGAACCAGTGAACCACGGCGGAGAGTTGGAGAGGGTGTGAGAACTGAGAGCTGAGAGGCGGAGACTGGAGATTGGAGATGGTGAGACTTGAGAGAGTGATGGATGATATACTGAGATGAGATCTGAGAGACAAAGAACAGAGGAGAAGGGAATCGCAAGAGAGAAACGAGGCGGAACTCGAAAGCATAACACAACACTCCAGATTAGAGTTAATTCCAGCAATGGTCTCTGAGTATGGTGATTTTCCACAATTGGTCCTCGACTTTTAATTTGGACAATTTAACCACCCGACTATTAAAATCTTTCCAATTGTAGTCCTTCCGTTAGATTGGAGTTAAGTGAAAGTTAATTTGAGGGGTAAAAACGTCATTTCCCTGAATTCATCATCATCACCATCACCGCACGCTGTTCTGTCACTTCTGTCCAGCACGCAGCGAGGAAAGGGGAAGGCTGCGACGGCGAGGGAATCCGGCGGGTTCTCGACTTTCTTGCCTCTTTCCACTCTCCCGTCTGTCTTCGTTCATGCGTTCCTTCACAAGTGTAGAAACAATTTTCAGTGTTGTTCTCACATCTCTATCAGCCTTCCTTTTTAAACTCTGCAAGTCTAGCCACCTAAGACCTGGGAATATGTCTGAAATGTTTGGAGTGCCAAACCACTGTGCGACGCCTGTCAAGGCATTGAAAAACTTTGAAGCTTTATCTGACATAAGATCTACCAAATCGTGAGAGAGAAATAGGTTTCCCAACAAGTTAAATGTTGCGAGGAAAGAAAAGTGTGCTACATGAACCCCACTTCCTCCCTGCATAGAATTCGCTTGGAAGCTACTTGGCGTCTGACTGGATAGATTCCCCTGCGGAATCGCGTCGGAAGCTGCTTGCATCAGAGTTTGAGTGATTGGAATAGCGGCTTGTGCTTCCTGATTAGTGTTGCCGACGCCGGAGAGTGCGGCGGCATAGGTGCTGTGTCTGTGCTCTAATACCATGATGGAATGAGCTATGGAAGGTGCGAAATGAAGCAATGATGTGTGGTGTTATTCATTGAAACAGAATGTCCAGAACCTTACTCATACAAAGAGAATACATCCAATATATACAAGAAGGAAGGAGGGAAAAGGGGCAGTTATAACAAATCAGATATGAACATTTACATTACTTCCCTCTACGTATTATGCCTTGGTGTTGCTTGGCTCTGTTATTTCTATCCATTGGAGCATTTCACCAATGCATTTTCTCCTTACAGAGATGTGAGAACAACACTGAAAATTGTTTCTACGCTTGTGAAGGAACGCATGAACAAAGACAGACGGGAGAGTGGAAAGAGGCAAGAAAGTCGAGAACCCACCGGATTCCCTCGCCGTTGCCGCCTTCCCCTCTCCTCGCTGCGTGCTGGATAGAAGTGACAGAACAGCGTGCGGTGATGATGATGAATTCAGGGAAATGACGTTTTTACCCCTCAAATTAACTTTCACTTAACTCCAATCTAACGGAAGGATTACAATTGGAAAGATTTTAATAGTCGGGTGGTTAAATTGTCCAAATTAAAAGTTGAGGACCAATTGTGGAAAATCACCATACTCAGGGGACCATTGCTGGAATTAAATCCTCCAGATTATCTAACCCTAACTATTATTTATATACTATACGTATATTACGGGTATCGAGTCGAATCCGAATCTAATATTTTAAACCCGCAAACCGAACCGAATTACTAGCCTTCAACACAGTTTTTATCGGGTTGGACCCGAACGGTTCATATCCGAACCGGACTGCATTTTTCCGAGTTGAACCCACGAAAATTCGGGCTAGACCCGAAATATGCCCACCCCTAATTGTGTAGATTTAGTGTATTTAAAATGTACTCGATATTCAGAATCCACACAACTAATTGCACCATTATTCAACAAAATTTTACACTTAAATAATTAGGCCAATTAATATAATTAAACAATCAGGTCTATCTATAATTCTATATTATAAAACAATACAATATATACTTAAAAATCCAAGCTCATGCCGGTGACCCAATCTTCTAACCCAATCCAAATTTCTTACCCGACCCAACGCCCGGGAGTATTTAAGCGATTTTGGCTCCATTTCTGACCTAGAGCCGACGCTTCGTCTTCTTTCTCCTCTCTCTCGAACATTCTCCCGTTCTCCGTCTCTTGGTCCGAATGTCTCCAAAGTCCAATCCAACCTATAATCTCAGCTCTACCACCATTTTTTGGTTGTAGAAGGCTATAAATGTGTTTGTAGAGCAACTCATATGCCAATAATCGTTCTCTACATCAGTCTTTCACTTGTACTATAAAATCGCGAGGTTGATTTCAAACCCTAATTTCAGAAAACCTATGAGATAAGTTATCCTAGTCTATCTATTTTATACTTAATTTTTTGACTAATTATTTCAATTTTCTTGTCTATTTTGTTGTTCATGTTAGTTCAAGATTAGATTAGTGTTTTCCTATGCAGGGGCGGAGCCAGCATGGGGGCAGTGGGGGCAGCTGCCCCCCTCCCCCACCCCACCCCACCCCACCCCACCCCACCATTATATTATCCTTGTATGTATATATGTATATATAGAACAGGTTTTAAGTATTAGTATAATAAAACACAAGAATTTAAACAAGTGTTGCTTCAGTTCGGTTGGTTGGGCATGTGTTTGGCCTTTGGTAAGGTCTAGGGTTCGAATCTTGTTGTGCTTAAATAAGTTTTATGACTTTTTATTATTAATTGTTAGGCTACTGCTTCAACACAATTTCATATATATATAATGAGATGTGTACTTTATAATTTATTTTCTATTCTAATTATTTTATCAAATTAATTATGTTTCATATTTTATTATAAATATTTTTATAAAGTTTTGATATGGTTTATTTTTTACTTATATCCAAAAAATATTTATAATTATACTTTTAAGTGTTTCATTTTTGTAAAAACTATCTTTTTTTGTTGTAATGTTCTGCCCCACTGACAAAATTTCCTGGCTCCGCCACTGTTCCTATGTACATCAAATAGGGTGATTTGGTTCAAAAGTTGTTTATTTAAACTCTAGACCTTTATGCTATATTTTGGTGATTTGGTTCAATGTTCTGTGGATGAGGATATAATATTTCTGAATGAATCAAATAATAAGTCTGTACAGGAATATATATAGTAGCGAATAACAAACCTAATACAAGACTAATACTAGTAACAATAGGTAACGAATACTAATAATAATAGAGTCCTAATACTCCCCCTCAAGCACAAGGTGGACTAGCTACAACATTGAGCTTGCCACACAGAGTAGAGAAACGCGGACCAGGGAGAGCTTTAGTGAACATGTCAGCCAGCTGATCCTTAGTAGAAATGAAGCTAACCTGCAACTCTTTCTTTGCCACTTTGTCACGAACAAAGTGATAGTCAATTTCCACATGTTTCGTACGAGCATGGAACATCGGGTTGGAACAGAGATAAGTTGCACCCAGATTATCACACCAGAGAGTGGGAGGAGCTGCCAACGGCAACCGAAGTTCATGCAATAGAGAAACCAACCAGGTGACCTCAGCAGACACGTCAGCTAGTGCCTTGTACTCGGCCTCTATAGACGAACGAGCAACCGTACGTTGCTTCCGGCAAGACCAAGAGATCAGATTGTCACCAAGAAAAACCGCAAAGCCGCTAGTAGACTTTCTGTCAGCGGGGTCCCCAGCCCAGTCCGAATCCGAAAAAGCATGCACTGCAACAGAGGAGGATGGGCGAATAAACAGACCAAAATGCAAAGTGCCTTTAATGTACCGCAGAACACATTTGAGCATTGCCCAATGCTCAGTAGTCGGGGAGTGCATATGCTGACAGACCCGATTCACAGCAAAAGATAAATCCGGGCAAGTGACAGTAAGATACTGCAGAGCCCCAGTAAGACTGCGATACTGCGTGGGATCGGCATAAGGAACCACCGATTCAGAAACGGGTCGAGTCACAGGCACCGAAGTAGCCAACGGCTTGCAGTCCACCATACCTGCACGGCTCAAGATATCTCGCATGTATCGCTGCTGAGAAAGAAACAAACCATCACCACGAGAGACCGTCTCAATGCCCAGAAAAAAGGACGGAGCACCCATGTCACGAATCTTGAACTCCGAGGCTAAGTCAGTCAGAAGCCGAGTAACACGCGAAGCATCAGATCCCATAACAAGGATATCATCCACATAAACAAGCACATATAAAGATATAGAGTCACGAGTGTATATGAATAAAGAGACATCAGTCTTTGAAGGTGAAAAACCAACCGACACCAAGAAAGCATGTAACCTGTTAAACCATGCGCGAGGAGCCTGCTTAAGACCATAGAGTGACCTCTGTAATAAGCATACATCATCCGGTCGTGACGAGTCCTCATAGCCAGGCGGCTGTCGCATGTAAACTGTCTCTGCAAGATTACCATTCAGAAAGGCGTTGTGAACATCCAACTGCCGAATTACCCAACCGCGAGAGACAGCCAAGGAGAGAAGAAGCCGCACAGTTGTGGGTTTTACAATAGGACTGAAGGTCTCAAAAAAGTCCTGTCCTGCGACTTGATTGAACCCCTTAGCCACCAACCGAGCCTTGTGCCGCTCAATCGTGCCATCAGCCTTGCGCTTCGTCCTGAACACCCATTTGCAGCCTACAACATTCATACCAGGTGTGCGACTAACCAGACGCCAAGTGTGATTCTGGAGCAAGGCATTCAACTCAAGATCCATGGCCTCACGCCATTCCGGATACCGAACTGCCTGAGAATAACAGGTCGGCTCAGAAACAGTCATAAGAGCCACATGCTGCGTCGGCCCCAAAGAACGAGTCGCCATAACATGAGACCGAGGTGGAACCGGTTTTACCGTGCGCCGACCTCGCTTGGGCGCCTTAGGAGCACCCGAGACTGCCACATCTGGAGCCACGGCAGTCTCGGTGCGGGAATCAGAAGCAGCACCAGCAGCCCCGGAATCCGTGTCCATCTCCAGACGAGGATCCGGCCGAGCAGAACAAACACCGGAGCTCGCGCCAACCTGAACGGCGCCAACACCCCACGGCTCAATCGGGCGAGAGCTAGAGACCTGAGAGGGGACAGAAGAAGCAAATGGAAATATGGTTTCATCAAACCGCACATGACGACAAATGAATACCTTGTTAGTAGCAAGATCAAAACAACGATAGCCACAAAACGAAGACGGATAACCAAGAAACACACACGGAGAAGACCGATACTGCAACTTGTTACGATTATACGGGCGTAACAGAGGATAACAGAGACAGCCAAACACACGCAAGAAAGAGTAAGAAGGACTAGAACGATGCAACTGAGAATGAGGACTATCATTATCCAAAACCCGAGTCGGCATCTTATTGATGAGATAGACCGCAGTCTCAAAGGCATAATCCCAATATCGTTGTTGAACCGAAGCCTGGGCCAAAAGAGCCAAACCCGTTTCCACAACGTGACGATGCCGACGCTCAACTCTACCATTCTGCTCATGGGTATAGGCACAAAACTGCCTATGATTAATACCCAAAGAGACAAAAGTACGGTGCAACCGTTTATACTCTCCCCCTAAATCAGATTGAATAGAGACAATCTTACGACCATATGAACGCTCAACTAGTGACCGAAACTGCTCGAAGATAGCATACACATCAGTTTTCAAACGCATAGGATAAAACCATACATAGCGCGTATAGTCATCAACAAACAAAACAAAATAACGAAAGCCATTGACGGAAAGAAAAGGCGCTGGGCCCCAAATATCAGTATATATAAGTTCTAAAACATGAAACGTAGTAGTATTGACACGAGGCAAGGGAAACCGTGAGGATTTCCCAAGCATACAAGCACGACACAATTCCGAAGTATCACTAAAACTAGACTGAATAGAACATGAATTGTATATCTGCCGCAAGACACGCGGGTGAGGATGACCCAACCGGCTATGCCACACGTCAGAGGAGACTCAAGAGGCCACAA